CGCTATTATATTTGTAGATGTTTTCCGTTAAAAATAGTCAAGAATGCGCAGATTTCAACACTTTTCTTTATTCTCATTCATGGAATAATATATCAATGATTATGTGATACAAAAATGCGATGCTCTGAAAATAATAAATAAACAAACTAAATACTGATTACAACGCATTTAAATAAAATACAATAAATTGTCTAAAATAATAATGCTAATACAAATCATAAATATACGATATCACCTTTACAATTATAGACTTAAATCTATTAAAATAATATTGTTATTTTATATTTCCGCGAATAATTCCGTTTATAATTTGATTCACGGCAAATATTGTAAAGTTCATCATCATTTAAACAATATTGAATTTACTATTAAAATTCATACATAATTAATAACTTGCTTACCGATTATGATCCACTTTCCATTGAAAAAACATCAATAAACAAAACACATCAACAATTTAAGCACTTCCGCCCAAGGCAAAACAACATATCAAAGTAACGGTTAATGACGTCACCGTAAAACAATTTAATGACGTCTTTTTACGGGAAACAAAATAAGACGTTACGTTTGGCGGAAATAGTGAAGCTATGTTAAATTGAAAGAGTCAAACAATGTTTTTAATAGTAAATACTATCGAAAAAATCAAACTATGAAAATTATGTGATTATAATAAATAAATTTACAATTAAGAACTATAATTCTTACAATATTAATCAGTGTTATCCCGCGATAGTTCTTAGCAACGTTTATATCACCCTTTTTAAATATAGGGGTTATAATTCCTTGTCCCCATGCGGTGGGATATTCATGGTCATTAAAAATCTTATTGTATAATTTATTGAGAAAGGGAGAGATTATGTCAAATGTCGATTTAAAAATTTCAGCGGGGAGGTTATCTAATCCCGGAGCTTTGTTACTATTTTGCATGAAAACAGCGTCACGGATTTCTGCATTAGATATTTCTAAATCCAACGAAATATTATTAGAATTCGAATTTTCGGGGATTTGTTGGTCGTTATCGTTTGTTAAACCGCCGCCGAACATTTCTTGGAAATGTCTTTGTAGCTCATCAATTGTCAGAGAACTTGCGGTTGGAGTTTTCTTTTTATATGACTTCTTAATGGATTTCCAAAAGTCACGCGGTTGAGAGGACGCCAAGCTACTAATTCTACGACCTTCTTGTATAAGCCTCGTTACCGCCCAATGGGCGGGTCACCTCGGGACGGATATTCCGATCCGAACCCCAAAATATGACAGATATTATTAATCACGGAACAGCGGTATTTTACCTGTATCCCAGACAATTCGATTAATTTCATTTCCTGAATTAATTTCCTTATTTTTGTCAATATTTGTGTGAACAATTCTGAATTCGAAAGATATACAAGCATGATCCGAAAATTCATTAAAGTCATGAACCGTAAAATTAAAAACATTATCAAAATCTTGGTATTTCAATAAAAGGTAGTCAACTAAACTTGCACCTAGTCGGGAGGTAAAAGTAACAGCCCCGATACCTAAATCACTGTCAAGTCTACCATTGGCTATCAAATAATAAAAATAAATAAAATGAGTAACAATTTCATGGCAAAATATATTTTTCTCTATATATCTAACTGGTCAGCAGATTCTACAATATGGTCAGCATTTTAATAACATATTTTTGACTGTTTATTGTAAGTAAGTAAGTAAGTAAGTAAATTATTTATTATTGTGACATGTGCATAGTCAAATACAAATAACAATCGTATATGTGTACAATTATAGCACCCGGCCCAATGGGCCTATAAGTCACCAATGTAATGATTTCATAATGCATCACATAAAACATAGAATGTATAAGTCCTGGTATAAACAAATATAAAGTGTAACCTGATTCTGGTTAATGCTTACAAACAATATTTCAAGGGCTTCAAACGTTTAACGTTCTATATGGAACTTTTTATTATTATCCTTGTCATTATTTTTGGATATCACAGTTTTTTGTTTTGTTATGAATAAATTCGGTTTCGCCTACACATAAAGGCAGCAACAATATATTTAGACATTTTACGAGGATATTTTGTCATTAAGTGTTCGAGTTTGTGTTCGGTCACTAGGTTTACAAATGAAATGTCTGTTAATAAGTTGTCAAATACAGTATTTCTAACATTTGAATATAAACTGCATTCTAGTAAGAAATGTATCTCTGTTTCTATGGCTCCGGAATTACACAGTGTACAGTGTCTATCTTCTACAGATTCGCCGACATATCGACCTGTCTCTATCCGTAAAGGTAAAATGCCAGTCCTGAATTGAGCTAATAATGACCTTTCATTTTTCTGTAAGTTTAATAATAAATATTCCTCAGTTTTAAATTCCCTTTTGAACAGTCTGTATGTTCTTAATTTTGGTAAGTTTTGAATGTCTCGAGCCCATATGTTTGAATAATATTGTATTTTGTCATAGATAAATCAAGAATGACACGTCGCGTGTGAAATCGATTTTAATATGACCTTGGGGCATATCGATCTCGATAAATTATCAGTTTAATGGATATCTGTGGAAACATGTTGTTTATAATGTAATAAAAGCTTATTAACTATAACAATTAGCACATTATTAATTTTTGTTCAATATTACTTATACAATTATACGAACAACAAATAAGGAAACAGAAATCACTTTATTTCATATTTGCACTAAATACGACATAATAATTATATTTTGTTAAAATATACATTACGTATATGTACATGTATATATTTTAACCTATGATGCATAGTTTTATACGTACTTGAAACAAATTATGATTTTTCGTACATCATATTTTGACTACATTTTTAAAATTTAAACCAATATATAACACATAGAAGAAAATTCATTAAGGTACTTAAATAAAATATTATATCAAAATAAATTGAGAAATATACAATATATATCAAGTGAATTTTTTATAATTAATATGTATCATTTGTAATATTGACATCTTGAAAAAACATTTTATCAAGTATTTCTCGACCTCGCCTGTAATATCACCAACGGCAATTTGACACCTTCAATGTTTCCCTTCTTTGTGTAACTGGTCAGCAGTTTTCGATAATCCTTCTTTGTTTAACTGGTCAGCAGTTTCCTATATATTCTATATCGTCAGCTAATTCGTCAGCAGTTTAGTGCGACCCCTTCCATGATCGCACCGTTTGTCGGTGAGTTAGTAAATTCTGACCAAGCACCGGTAGACGCACGACAATGCGATACGATATTATTCCAAATGTCGCTTCGCATTGTCGAGTGTCGCTTCGCGTTGTCGAGTATCGCTTCGCGTTGTCGAGTGTCGCTTCGCATTGTCGAGTGTCGCTTCGCAATGTTGAGCGTCGCGGTGTAAAAATCATAAAAATAACGCGACATTTACTCGACATTTTAAAAATGTCGCTTCGCGATGTCGAGTGTCACTTCGCATTGTCGAGCGTCGTATCGCATTGTCGCGTTGTCGTTTCGCATTGTCGAGTGTCGTGGTATGCACTTCTACCAACCTCGACACTCGACAATGCGAAGTGACAATGCGACAACGCGAAGTGACAATGCGACAACGCGAAGTGACATCGCGACAACGCGAAGCGACGCTCGACAATGCGAAGCGACACTCGACAACGCGAAGCGACATCTCTTAAATGTCGCCCTTTTTTACCGCGACATTTCTAGGCGACAGTGCGACATATCGTTTGACACTGTCGAGCGTCGCTTCGCATTGTCGCATATCGCTTCGCGTTGTCGAGCGTCGCTTCGCATTGTCGCGATGTCACTTCGCATTGTCGTGTGTCTACCCTTAGACGCGACGGACGACATTCTAAATGGCACGATAAGGACACCGTATGTAAACCAAACTACATCTAAAATAGCACGTGTTAAGTAATAAGATAAATCCATACTTTCTTATTAAGGACTATTGTACACACTGAGTTCAATTGTGAACAAGTGACACTGTTAGGCATGTTAACGTGAAGTGTTTAGGTCAGTCGTTGTAAATGTTTAATACGATTATTCGCGGGGGTTACACACTGTTGATTTGACTATGCCGGACGTTACAGACGCTTTAATCGTGATGTCAATAAAGAATGTTCTTTCTATCCTGATTAGAACCTATATATTATGTTCATTCATCTTCTGCTACTCTAAATATAGATCAAAATTATGCTTTCTATATCAATATTGGAGAGAATACTGTGAAAGTATTATCTCTTATAAAATCCAGATTGCATGAAAAGCGAGGCTCTAATTAGGCACCGTTTACGCCAAGTCTTGTGAAATATGGAATATAATGAGTTTCTTGCTGTCAGCTATCAATAAAATTTCACTTTCCATTAGCATAACGAAAATCTTATTTGTAATTTATCTGATATTTTCAAGACATCAAACGATGAAAACTGCAGCGAAGACTTTCTTGGGAATAAAACGACGCAACTTTTAGATAAAACAAAATAATAAACATTCCAGACAGATACGGTTATCTTTAAGAGAAAATGCAGATCACATTTTAATGCGAGGAATTTCTTTAAATCGGTAAGGTTTTAAATTGTGCAAAGAATGCACATTCTGATAAAGTTTTACGACTACAGAAAATAGATCTAATGAATTATATAATAATGGAAACAGATATTGCAAAGGATTATAAATATTGTTGAGAACTTTAAATACAATCCGCGCATTAATAAATAAAGATAGTCATTGCTTAACGCTTAACTTCTCTACACCACCTTATGGTCCATGCCACCATCAGCTTTGATCACTAATTTTAAAATTTTGCAAATTTAATCATAAAATGACACTTTTTCTATTCAAAGAGCAGAGAGATAAAAGGAAATGTCAGTTCAAATATATTCATCTTGGGCAGCAAAATTCAGTTCTTCTTTTCATTTAGCGCTTATATATCAGCATACACATTTCTCAAATATACATGTATGTATACACGTATACGGCGTCCAAACTTTTGTTTTATTTATTGTCTTGGTCTAAATTTGCAGATTCGAAACGTCAACAAGAACACTGTATGGGACATGAAGAGCCGTGTTGCCAGAAAAAATCTTAGAATAGAGAGGAAAATGTTGAAGAGTTGCATCATCATGTGTAGTAAGTATAAGTAAAAGACCCATTTTGCCCCACTCCGACATCCCCCCTCCCCATCCTTCTAAAAAAATAGTTAATAATAATGATAATATTAATCATTACAATAATAATAAAATTGAATAATTAAAAATATGAATAAGTAAAAATAAAATAATGCAAAAAAGAATAAAAAAATCATTTCTCACCCTTTATGTTTAATTTTGCCGTTCTGTGTAATAATTTCTATAGTAAGTTGTCGGTACTCTGGCAATAAAACTGAACGATCTTATGCATATTTTGCATTTTGGTCAGACACACATGTAGTTATAGTGATTAAGTATATTTGCATGGAGACTGGACATAAATATTATATAATTATATCCCTTACCTCATCGTTTATATTTTGCTACACTCTACATTTTTTTTGACAAGTCATTTCACATTCAGCGTTTTTTTGTTGTTTTTTTTTTCATGTGATAAACATCTAATTGTGTTACCCATTGTTAATACGTTAATAAACAAAGGATATTTTAATTGTTCCGATGACATTAATCTTTCTAGATTCCTGTAAAATTATTTGTAGGTATTATTAAACGTGTTCACAGCATATTGATAACCTCTCACTAATTTGGTAATGTTAATTTCCCATACTGTTAATTAAACTATATGACTTTTAGGCCACAGTACGAATCACTGTAACAATCTGAAAAATTAATAGTGTCACGACAAATGAAATAGATTGCTCTGGGTATTTAATTAAAGAACATCAACCCTGTGATGTATACTGTTAACGTGGATGTCCGTACTCTCTTCAGATGTTATATGTTCGACCTCGATTGGCCCACAAAACTGTTTTACACTGCGAAATTCGCAAATGTAACAAGTTATTGAAACTTTATAGGTAACATCTATGGGTGAAAATTTAATTTATATACTCAAGTCTTCAGTATTTATTATAAGAGATTTTGAAATGCTGTACAATCCTTGAAAATAACTTTTTTCACTAGCGATGCTTGTATTTTTAGGCAAAAAAGTAATCATACAATTAGAAAACATCAATTATGATATTTTTCTGTCCAAATATAATTATTTATTACCTCCCTTTAATAAGTACTGGTTGGAGACCACCAAAACCGGACAACCATCAAACCCGGACGGCCCTGAAAATGCTTAATTTAGATTTTTTTCTTTGTTCAGTGGTTTTTCATATATCAAAAACTTTATTATCAACATGGATATTTCTTCTATGATTAATAGAAATAATTTCAACTTCCGTAAACGGTAATATTTTATTGTCTCTTTCAAGAAAGTTGACGCTGAAAATTGGGGCATCAAGAGTGCAATACCTGACCTCATACACCACTTGTAATCATTTGCAGAATAAACAATAGAATATCCAAAACATCAGCATTTGCTGCTGATATATTGTATATCAAGTTAAAAATAATAAGTATACTCTTAAAAAAGTTTATATTAAAACTCGTGTAACTTTTTACGAACAAACAATTTATGAGATCTACCGACATATATACTGTGTATTTAAAGTGATTAATATACACAGTAGCTATATTTATCTTTAAAAAAGACGTTTTGTTGGTATTTGATAAGTATGTGCAGATAAAATTTCATAAAAATCACGGCGGGTAGTCGGTCACAACTGATAGTCGATCAAAAACCTTTTTTGCCAATCAAGTCCCTTTTTCAACGTTATTGTAACTTTAATTGCCTACTGCAGTAAAGTTCAAATTTCCGCAAGACCGTTGCAAGTGATAAATTAAATATCAGGATGATTTTTCTTTGCAAGGTTCCGGGAAAGAGCAAACATTTCATATGTTGCTGTCAAATAGGAAATATTCAACGTGAAGTACATCAAGACCAATACAGATCGGTGAAGGCGGCGATTGAATATACGAATTTATTTTAGATCGATTGCGTTTTAGCTATAAGCTTATTTAAGCTCTGTCGAATCCATAGAACTAAGACGTTTGTGTAAAGTTTCTTGTTCACTGAAACAACGGATTGCCCCTGACGGGGTTTGAACCCACGGGGCCTGCAATCTTTAGATTATAAGTCCGACGTGTTTACCACTCAACTTGAGAATTGAGGCGATGATAGAATGACGTTATATTTCGACAATTTAAATGTTGTATTTCGCCAGATTGTATGTAAACATGCATTATGGCTTTGAAAAAATTCCTCGTTAAAGATTAAACATGAGCTGTTAATGACTTATTATTTTTAAATCCTCTGTATTTATTTTCAATAGCACCAACCCATTGGGATCATCGATTGGCTAAGGTCATTACATTAGTCGATAACTTATCTCGTGTACTGTTCATTGTTTATCTATTATGTATTTGTTCATTTTGTATATACATTTTCCCTCAGGCGTATATTGGTTGTGTTGGTCTCCATATGCTGTCATGTCTTTCTGGCAATCATTTGGTGACCCGGACACTATACCTCTCGTGCTAACCGAGATCCCTGCGGCAGCCGCCAAGTCCCAGATCGTATGGAATCCAATCATCTACGTGGCGACGAATAAACAGTTCCGTAAAGCTTTCTATGCCAGTATTCCTTGTGTCGGATTGAGAGAAAAGCTTATCAAAAAGGAAGAAGAAAAAGAACCATCCTCAAAGGAGTCCGATCTCGATGATAAAACCAAGCAGGAGCAGGTAGATTCAAAGGATTAATATTTTTTTGCAAGATTGAGATATATACTACACTGAGATAAGGACAGAATTTCATCATTTCTTTAGGCAATAATGTTATGCATAATTTTAAATCTCATTCGATTTAAGATTCATGCTTCATATTGTACTGTGTATGATTTCCATGGCGGTCTTTTCTTCATAATTATACCATTACACAAATAAATGCATTAGTCTACTTCATAAATGTGAACATTTTGTTGCTTTAAATAAATCTTAACACATTTCATTTACAGAGTGTCATAAGTGTGACAACAGCGGTAGCCAATAACACGGTAGAGACCCACACAGCCGGTGGGGCATCAGCTGCAACCGAAGTGGCAACCATCTCTACAGGTGTACCCATGGGGTCACTCAACAAAGTATCGCCAGCACCGGATAATGCGGCAGCATCGAAAACCGGACCAACAAAAGTTGATTGTTGATAATTAGCCATACACATGGCTAAGAAAATGGAGAATATATTAATGCCAAAATTACGATAACGCTTCCTGTTGTACTTTATCGAGGTATAATATAGAAATTCCCGGATTTAATGTAGAGGATATCTTTCCAGGCTTTAGTACTTAACAACCCAGTTTGCTTTGATTGTTAATGAATGATATAGCAAATTTGATGAATGATTTTAGTATATGGATGAGAATATTTCCGTATGTAATCATCAATTTATCTAAACTTTTTTTCTAATCAGACGGTAGTTATAAAAGTGTTTATTGATTGTAGAGAGATAACTGATGTGAATACTGTGCGATGAATGAGTTAAAATTACCGAGTGTCGTAACAATGATTAAAACAGTGAGTGGTGTAACATGCTAGAATCACCGAGTGCATAAAGAATGGTCTTAAAACAATGTAAGATTCACTTAGTCGAGACAGGCAATGTAAGAGACACTGAGTAGTGAAATAGTTTTAGGATTAGTGATTGATGTAAGAATCACTGAATTGTGAAAAATACTAGAAGCAATAAGAGTTGAAACAATGTTAAAAACAGTGAGCGGTAAAATAGTTTAGGGATTCCTTCGAACTATTGAGAGGCGAACCATTTAGAGGCGAACCATTGAGAGCCGACACATAGTTAGAAACAGTGAGTGATGGAATAGTTTTAAGATTAATGAGTCCCAAGATAATGTTGGAATCAGTATTGAACAAATGTTAGATAAATGAGAAACTGTTAGAAACAGTAAGTGAGTACGTGGTTAAATAGTTTAGGATCAGAGAGAGTCAAACCAATAGTTGTGAAAAAGTTATAGGACCAGTTAGTGCAAAAACATTGTTGGGGATTCTTTCGTTGTGTTCGTTGAAACATTGTTAGAAACAAAGACAGCCGACACAATGTTAGAAACAGTAACATTGAGAGGTGAAAAAGTTTTATGACCAATGAGTGCCGAGATAAATGTTTGAATAAATGTGTATTGAAAAATGCTAGAATAAATGAGAAACAATGTTAGAAACAGTGAGTGTGTGGTTAATTAGTTTAAGGATAAGAGAGTGCTGAAACAATGTAAGAATCAGTGTGAGTTGTGAGTCGAACCAATTAAAAAAAAACAACAACATAAGTTGTGAAGAAGTTGTAGGGTCAGTGAGTGCGGAAACAATGTTAGGGATTGTTTCGAACTGTAGCCGGTGAAACATTGTTAGAATCAGTGATTGTTGAAATAATTTTATGATCAATGAGTACTGAGACAATGTTAATACCAGTGAGTGGTTAAAGATTTTAGAATGAGTGAGTGGTTATGGTGAAATAATGTTCGTGTGGTGCTAGAATTTATTCCGTATTGACCGTATTAGTAGCTCTATGTATGGCTTCTGTACAATTTTTCCTTTACGTATGATAATTACACTGTAAAACAATAACTGTTATATAAATACTTCACTACAGTTTAACAAATGAAATGTTAGTTGAAATGTATTTTATTGACGTTAATTGTTATGATTATGTTTGCATTATCTTATTGACTAACGGCATACTATGTTTTTTTTAATTAATTTTGACCCCCCCCCCCAAAAAAAAAAAAAAAAAAAAAAAAAAAAAAAAAAAAAAAAAAAAAAAAAAAAAAAAAAAAAACAAACAAAACAACAACAAAAAAACCCCATAAAAATACAACAAAAACCTAGGTTTGATTATTGCCACAAATGATTTTATAACGCGACTGGTAAGTATACGTGCTTTATTCTACCGGCTTACTTGTGTCGAACCGTATATGTCACGGAACATATATGTCTCTTTGTGCGACATATTCGGCCGAATTAATCACATATACGTTTTTGCTATTTGGTAGTAATTGCCTGGCCGTATACTAGTATGTCACTTATTTAGTAAACTAACATTATCATTACCGTTTTAACCTACCTTCATCAGCTTTTACAACACAACATCACCATCAACAAGAGCATCAACAAGATCATTATCATCAATGATACATTATCATCGTCATCGTAAATAAGTAATATATTTGTCCACGCCGCCATGCTTGTCTATTTACCAGTAAGATGTCACTGTGTCAATATTATAGCGACTGGCTTTGTCGAAAATATGTACTAAATATTTTAGACATTATTATTTGTTGACTTGAATATAGAGTATTGATTTTTCATGTACCCACTCTGAGGGGGAGGGAATTTAAACGTTTTACTTGTCCGTGCGCAGAGTCTCTCCGTCCCGGAAACCATAAACACTTTAGTAAAGGGTCATGACATTTTACATGAACGTTGGCCAGCATTATGTTATTGTGCACCTGGGGTGCTTGACGATTCGGGAAGTCATGCCAGCGTTAATGCCATTGACCTAGTCAAGTCGCGTGTAGAATCAACATTATTAGGGCCATGGTCAGAAAACTTGTAAGTTTATCTTACGCACACAAAGCGTGATTTTGACATGTACTTTAGAAATGACGTTATACCACGAAATAATATTAATTATTTTTCGCCGTGACTTAGATATAAGCAAAATAAAATCTTTTTCAATCACGAAAAATCGGTTATTGAACATTTTCATCAATCTTTTTCACGCTGCAACTCAGGAAATACACGAGTTAGTGTTCTCCCTATTACCAGACTGTTAAACGAGTTTATGTTCTCCCTATTGCCAGACTGTTTCACGTGTTTGTGTTCTTCCTATTGTTAGACTGTAACACGGGTTTTTGTTCTTCCAATCGCCAGACTGTTTCATGGGTTTGTGTTTTCCCTATTGCCTGACTGTTACACGGGTTTTTGTTTTTCCCCATTGCCAGACTGTTTCATGGGTTTGTGTTTTCCATATTGTCAGTCTATTAAACGGGTTAATGTTCTCCCTATTGGCAGACTATTACACGGGTTTGTGTTCGCCCTATTGGGAGGCTGTTACACGGGTTTATGTTCCCCCTATTGCCAGACTGTTACACGAATTTGTGTTGGCTTTTTTGCCAGACTGTTACATGACTTTGTGTTCTCCCATTGTCAGACTGTTAAACGGGTTTATGCTCTTCCTATTGTCAGTATGGTATGCAACTCTATATCTTTATAACCACACTGTTATATTGGATTTTGTATCCTCATACTGCGGGTTAACCATTCTATTTTATTGTTTGATACCTGATGCATCGTGAGTCTTCAGTAGAATTTTGCTTTGAGTCCAAACAAAAATCAAAAGTCATTAAAAGCTTTCAGTTTCAATTTCTAGTCACAACTAAACGCATGTTTATATACATGTAATGTATATTCGATGTACAACACACATTACTCTTGAATCCAGGAAATAAATTTTGTATGAAGATTGAGTAATAAAATACATAATTGTTACAATTGTTATAATAAATTTATACATAAATTAGGTCCATTCATACCCTAATGAAGTACATGATATTCAAATTGAGCAAATATATACATACTTCATGTACAGAACTTTGTTTACTAAACATCTATATACATATATGTAAAGCATGTTCAGGAAAGTAAGGCGAATGTAAATTGCAGTTTTGATATTTACTTGAGGAAATATGAATCATTTTTATTTTTGTTTTGATAAGGCCGTTACAAAACAATATGAAACATATGTTTCACGTCCTATTTTCTTTTTTTTTTCTTTTTTAAAGCGTCTGATTTCAAATGATACCTATATGTACAATATTTGTTTAGTTTTCTTCGATACTGCAGGATGATTCACGTTATTTAGAGCACTACATCTATGTTACAAATTATATATTTATTTTATCTTTTTTTCAAGGCCATTTCATTCTATAATATATAAATATTTTCTCACAAAATATGAGCATATTGGGACGATTATTGAAAAAAACTTATTGTTTTTTATTGGAGTAATCAATCACAAACAATGTTGTAATATACAAGGTATTTCTGATTTGCTTTTATTTATACCATCTTGTAATTATTCCAAGTTTTGTTGCCATATTTTGACACAACTATACGAGAATAAAAATTCACGCCAAAACAGTTTTTGTGAAAGACAATCCTTCGTTTATTGTAACAGACGTCTAGCTATTGGTTCCATCCGAAATTACTGTCTTCCCACTTAATGTTTAAAATTGACATGTCCATCTTGACCAAACTATCACAAAATATAGTGTTTAAAACATAACAGTTAAAATACAATGTAGTTAAAATGTTATAGATTATTCTCCAGATTAACATTTTATAAGAGAAGAATTAGTATATTTCTTTCTTATATACATACAGAAGGAACATTATGTCATTGATTTTATATTAGAATCAAAATTAATCAAAGGCAATAGCATTTGTTCCCACAGAGTCAGGCAACAAAGTATAATGAATTTCCTGTATTTGTTAATGAAATGTACATGAACTTTGTGTATAAAATGTTCCAATCAGAGAACAGTCCTCAGACTGGCTGTACATAAAAAGCTACATCAAAGGCATTGTTCTTTCTTCTTAATTTCTCCTCAAGACAGGGTAAAGTTGTCAGGAACCACTTTATTTTTGTCAAAATGTATGCCAATTTATCGCTGTTGGGAAATTCCTCGGGATCGGGACCGGGTGCGGAAAGAGAATTAACAGATTTTGAGATTCAGATGCTTTCATATCCGAAATGGGGACATCAGTTAGTTGGACTATTCTTGATGTGTATTGGAATATTAGGTGTTACAGAAAATTCTTTAGTGTTGTTAACATTTTATAAAGCAAAACAGCTACGATCACCTACGAATATATTCATCCTCGGTCTTGCAATCGGTGATTTTTCAATGGCTGTGTTCGGAAACCCTTTGGCTTTTACTTCGGCTCTAAACGGTGCCTGGTTTGCGGGCGATTTATTTTGTACATTAGAGGGATTTATTGTATATTTTATAGGAAGTTCACAACTAAACCTGATGATGGCGATTGCTGTCGATCGTTACATTGTGATAGCAAAGCCACTAAAAGCCTCCAAGATTACCAAAAGAGTTGCAGCTCTTTGTGTTCTCGGGTGTTATGGCAGCGGGCTATTCTGGGCTGTTACTCCCTTAATTGGCTGGTCAAGCTATGGGTTAGAAGCATCCGGGGTCTTCTGTGGACTACATTATGCGGACACCAGCAAGACGTATATCATTTTCATGTTTTTTTTCGTCTTTTTGGTACCACTCATTGCAATGATTTACAGCTATTTTAAAGTATTCATGACGGTAAGTTATCAACCATAAAAACACACATTCCTATTTAAAATGTGCTGATTGTTTACTTTATTCATATAAATATACATGTATAGTTAATTTGCTAATTAAAAATAATAAGCAGTTAAAGCAGTTGATTAATTTACGGTAGTTACTGTACTAGTTATTCATGTAAAAGCCAGATACATACTAAACTGTAATAAATTATTTCTTATTTTTATATATGGTGTTCTGTTAAGGTTCCTTGACAATTTAGCTGAATCAACGTTTGGTTTATGTGGAAATAATGTAATATGCTGAAATTTGATATTAGAAAATATTGATAATTGCTAAACAGTCTCTTTAGAAATAAAAAAATAACATGTTTTGACTTCACACAAAGTAGATATGTTATGTTTAAAATTCTTCACAGTATAGGTGGTCACAATATGAATATATAGTGTCATTAAAAAACTGGCAGATTTTTTTAAAGAAAGGACTAACTTTTCTTGACCTGCAAAAGGGAACACTGTTTCCAATACATAGTATATTCATTATTAGTTTCAAATTAAGTAGACATATTCAGTAAGAATTTCATAGATTTCAATAAATTTTTGTGATTAAAACTTTTTACTCAAGGATGAGCATAGTATGCTTTAAATCCAATATTACATGCTATCTAGTTGAAAGTGTCATTATATTTTGAATGTAATTATTTCATTTTTACATGCAACACAAATAAAAACCCACTATATATAACACAGGTTCCCTTTTCTTCAAAGGAAAATTCGTATTTATTTCTGAGGAATAATTTGCATATAAAAAGTGTGCACATATATTTAACATTTGAGCCGCGTCACGACAAAACCAACGTAATGACTTTGCGACCAGCATGGATCCAGACCAGCCTGCGTATCCGCGCAGTCTGATGTTCGCTATACGTATCGACTTGGGTAAAGCAAACAATTCACATCCCAGGCTAATTTCTTGACGTGATAAGAATCTAAATTCTTTAAATCCGTTAGTAAATATAAAATGTATCACAGGTTTGCCTTTACTTTGTTTGACTTTCAGACTTACTGTGCCTTTATTTAAAGTATTCATATAGTTCATACAGCTGCCGTTATGAAATCCTTCTTCTGACATGATCGTAGGTGTATGAAGTAGACTAAAACATTTGTTCATTATAATGTCAGATTTTCAATGGAAATACAAAAGTTCTCAGGATTTCAAGATAAACCAAATATATTTCAGTTGGTCAAGGTCAGAATGTCTCAGATTTTCTGTGTAAAGGAAGCAGTCACAATGCCTCAGATTTTCTGTGTGAGGCTAGAATGTATCAGATTTTCCATTTAAAATAGAAAATAAAATGTCACAACTTTTCAAAGTAAAGACAGAATGTTTAAAAGACATAATGTTTCAGATTATCAAAGTAGACAGAATATCCTAGATTTTGATAGTAAAAGCAGAATTTCTCACATTTTGTCATGCTTAGACAGAAAGTCCAATAATTTTAATGTAAAGTCTTAAGGTCCCGGGTTAAACTTGCATGGTAGGTTCAGAGATATACGAGTGCCATTTTATCAAACTGACAATTTTGTAAAATATTCCTGACTCGTTTTTGTAGCTGAAAGAATAAGTATATCTTCATATACACTTAAGCTCTTAATAAAGACATAATTGAGCCGCGTCATGACAAAACCAACATAATGGGTTTGCGACCAGCATCGATCCAGACCAGCCTGCGCATCCACGCAGTCTGATCAGGATCCATGCTGTTCGCTTACAAACTCTATAACAAGTAGAGAAACTGATAGCCTGATCAGACTGCGCGGATGCGCAGGCTGGTCTGGATCCATGCTGGTCGCAAACCCATTATCTTGGTTTTGTCGTGACACGGCTCATATTGTTTAGCATAATATCACTGAAATTTTGAATGAGACTTTAAACTTGGATGCAACATTATACATGTTTGTACGAAACTTGTATAGTTAGTAATGTTTTAATTGATTTCACGGTGTAACATTTCTAGTTGCCCTTTGTTTTTATTCAAGATATATCAATATTATAATGTAAGCATTTTAGCGGAAGATAAATTTTTATCAGACAGAAATGACATCTATGTGTTCCTCGTTATAATGGCTACATTTTTCTATAATTGAACTGTACAAGGTTGCTAATGTGAACAAATCCATGGTGTGGGACATGAAGAGCAGGGTGGCAAGAAAGAATCTCAAGTTGGAGAGGAAGATGTTAAAGAGTTGTGTCATCATGTGTTGTAAGATGTGTTTTCTTTTCATAATAGTTTAAATTGAAACCAAAGAAAACAAAATGATATGAAGTTTTCCTATTTTGTTTGCACTCGTAAGTTAATATTACATAGTCACCATCTGAAAGTTTTTTTAATCGTGATCAATTTTAGATTATTCAAGATCTGTTTTCATAATTCGATGATTAACGTAATTAATGATACATCATTAGTTGTAAAGATCTTTGACAGGTAATATTGCCATATTCGTATATACGGTTGTTTGGAAATATTACCTGAAGCGCCATGCAAATTTTATAGTGCAAACATATATGTTATACGGCTATATAATCTTTTAGAAACATTTATAACGAATTTATAATATTTTTAGACAAAAAGTGAGATTTGTTCATAAAATGACAGCAGCCATGAATATAAAACTACTAGTATATAAACGTCACGATTATCCAATATATTTTTTCGTTAATGTCCGTACAATTACCATTATATCAAAATACGCTACATATTTAGAATGTAAATGAAGCGGTTAAGCGGTTATGGAACAAATATCAAATAATACCTTTTGATATTTGCCTTTTTGTGATAAATGAATTCGAAAAACGGTACACGTCTTTTAATATGAATACCAAAGTGTATAAATATGTTGTATGACATTTTTCAGCTACGTTTGTTGCTTGCTGGATTCCGTACGCTTTTGTTTCATTCTGGCAAGTGTTCGGCAATGCTGACTCTGTACCTATCTGGCTAGCCGAAATACCATCGGCCTGTGCTAAATCAGAGGTTATATTCAACCCAATTATATATGTAGCGACCAACAAACAATTCCGGCAAGCATTCTACAAGAATTTACCGTGCGGTGTAATCAGAGATATGTTGGTTAAAAGAGAGGAAGTACAAGAGCAATCATCAAAAGAGTCGGAAATTTCTGTAAAGGAAGATGAAAAGGTATTTCGCTTGATATAAATGCTTACTTTACATTTATAATATTATATCTCTAACATCTCTTACTTAATTCCTTGTTTCAAGTTTCTGTCTTTAGATATCCTTGTTGTTCGATTAAAAAAAATCTTTGTCTAAGATTGAGTTACAATCAAATTCAACTCGATTCTGATCTTTTTTTGTTTTGTTTTAAAGAAGGCAGGTAATCCCAACGCTGTGGCACCGGCCCCTGAGTCTGGTCCAACAAAGGTTGAGTGCTAGATATGTAAATGAGCTTTCGGATAAACACAGACGTAACAATATGTTCGCGCCTTGGCCGAGCTATGGAATAACTAGATGTAAGTGTTGATGGGATTTAAACACGAGAAAAGGACCATTTGGAAAATCGGCACGTCACTTGAATTGGATCACAGCGTTTTGATCAACTACGGATTATTAGTTTCGTAGCGTCTATTTTATTGTACAGTTTGAACAAATTTGTATTTTTTCTGTGAAAGACGTTGTTTCTATTGCTTCGTTTAAATAAGTTAATTATCAGCCTCTATATAGTAGAAAATATATATTTCTTATGGCGCTATAATAATGATATCTATGCATTTATGTGCTTCTAATAGCACTTCAGTACGAACACTTGTATATGACCTATTTGTATTATATTTGCACTGAGAGTTCTGGTAATATTTCAAGAGCTAAATTTTACACTAAATTTTACAGTTGTAAATTGTAAGTTCTTATATCGTACCAAAATCATTTTAAATATTAATGTAGCTGCAAGAAATGTAATATCATTAACAATGTTTATGTACTTCTGTATGTGTGTTTGATGTCATTGCACATTGTGTAATTTATACTATAATAAATAAATAATAAAAAATGAATATTTCACCCTATTTGCTCTTTGCTATTAACATATTCTTTTTTTCACAGAAAAATAAAATGAAGAATAAAAATATGTCATGTGGTAATGACAGTTACTTAAATTTAATTTAACTATAAACCTTCTAAAAGTGTGTAATAGATCTGCCCTGCTTTGAGATTGGCACAGTCTATTTAGTATTTATAGGGATTTCAATATCAAAATGAAATTTAGCTGTCAACAATATAGAGCCTAGTCAGATTAAAAGGATGTTCAGGCTGGCCTGTCTCTGTACAAAAGCAAGTCACTTCCGGTTTTAACGGGTGTACTCAGTTCCACTGTATGAAACATTATAAAATAATAAGAAAACAGGCCAATCGAATTTTTGTTACGAATATACATCGTGGAATTTAATTTATAAATAAATACAATTCTTGACAACTGCATTTGGGGCTCATTGCTTGAGAAAGTGCATTTGTGTATACATACGGCATGTTATGAGTTTTGTACCCCGCTAAAGAGTTAATATTTTATTTTCCTATTATCTCCATCGTCTATTTGACAAATAGTTTTCTAAGATGTTCCCAAATTAAACAAAATGAACTGTCTGTGGTTCATTTACTTTAGTATGACTTAAATTGAAAAAGAGTATGCTACAGCTATAGTAATGAGATAATTCAGTTATACAGTATTTCCTATCAAAATATATGCATTATAGAATAGAGTAAAACAAAATCCCTAGATAAAGCCCATACGGCAAATTTAAAATGATGCATGCTCAGTTTAAATGAGCCTGTACATGTACGGTACTGTTGTCATTGAGGAATATTGGACCAAAAAGCTCTTAAATGGTAAGAACGTAAAGCACCAAAAAACATGCACTGTCAACAAAAATGTCGTGAGGAACGATCCTCAAGGTTTGAAATTATAACATCGTTGATAAAATTTTACGGGTTGGAAGTTTCTTTCTAACAAGAGTCATAAACCGTTCCTATTAACTGATAGCAGAAGTTTTCACCGATACCCAGCTGAATTTCATCAAATAGGATTGTTCATTTTCTATTTTGGAAGTGCCAAGTATCGCATTTGTTATATGAAGATGAAAATGTAAAGTATGTCAGCCAAACGTGCAGATCCTGGTTAGACTATACGGATGTGCAGGCTGGCCTGGCTCTATACTAGTGACAATGGCTTATCATTTAAGGTTCCAGCATTGAGTAATCCGTTGTGATATAATTCAAATTAACAGCAAGTAGTCTCACTGAATGAACGAAAATTTATATGTCACCGTAACATATTATTTACCCCATTTAACCACGTGAAAAAATCACTTAAAGCTTCCTTTATCATGTTGATTCCAAGTAGTACCTTTAGAGGACGCACTTTTCTCACTTAGAAGACGCACTATTCTCAAGGAAAATAAGAACTATAAGAAATGAAAGAAACATAATACTTGTATTTATGGATTTTCCCCTTAGCTATACTTTGTCTAATGAACAATATTATCTTTATGAAGTAGGTAATTCTTAATGAGGAAAATTACCAGCTTAAGAAACAGAGTGTTAAATAGCATATTTAATCTTCTTCATTAGCCGTGTGTATTTTAAAAGCGAATTACTGTAAGAAATTACAAGATAAAAGAATAATGTCAGGAAGAACGAATGAAGGGAAAAAGAAAACTGAAAATGTATTAAATCCTTTTTACTTTAAATCAGCACGTTTTTAGATTCATAACATTTCTCAGTAAAGGTGCATCTTGTAATATATAGCCGAGAAAGCATCGCAGTACAAGAATATCATGTAAGTTTAAACCGTCATACAGTTACAGTTTGAACACAAGTCTGATATTAAATGATTATTATAAAACATATTCTTGATCAATAAAAAGGTAAAATATACTTATATATCTAACATATCTGATCTGATTCAACTACCGCATTAAGGTGGAAAATCAATTGTTTACATTCAATGTGTTTATATATCACACACATTCCAGAGTGGTCGTACGGTCATAATCAGTATCGTTTAATTAGCAACCATTCAATCACGGGGGAGGAAGTGTTACACGAAGGATGGAGTTCTTATGATAACTTGTCTGGAGTTCTTATGATAACTGTCACTGAGTTCCTGGAAAACGTTACGGATTTCTGTGGAAAACTTTTCTATATACTTGGAGAACTCGCCTAAAAAAAGGTTATTTTTAACTTTAAATGGGGAGTTTGAGGTGCTAAATTAAACTTTGATAATTAAGCTTGCCCTACATATTGTATTATGTTTTAGAAAAAAATCTTTTAGTCCATATTTCGTCGCCGTTTAAAAAAATCTTGAAGTTTTGAGAAAAATTACCAAATTACTAGTTAATTCGTACATATTGACCTTTTCATTTATGATCTTTTTCGTTGCTATACATAATCACTTAATTATAGTGGTGAGTTGCAAACATAAAGCCCTGGCTAATAAATGTATACCCGATTTTTCAAATGTTACGGAGTTCTTGTGATAACTCAAAATATGTCCTGGAGTTCTTATGATAACTTTTGTTACTGCAAGTGTGTTTCTTGTGCTTAATTACGGCACGTTTAAGCGTATTTTATTAGTCAGTAAGTGTGTAAATCATTATGAAGCATAGTACGCTTATCATTTGCACAAAAATTTGGTTATATAACGTTGGTTTTAATCGTGTTTTAGTTCCTAATTAAATTTGTGCGAAATCATATTTACATTATAAAATTCAACGAATGCACTAATTGTTTCTGTGTATACTTATCGTCAACAAAAGTTTTATGTCATAAGTTTCCGCAAAATGCAACACTGAGGCCATGTGGCAAAATTAAAACACGATCATTCAATATATCTGGAGAAGACATGAAATTGCTTTGGTGTACAGTCTACATAGGATAAAGAGGTGCTAAGCTATCTTCAAGAACGGCCGCCTCCGTGGTCGAGGGGTTTGAGTCGTGACTTCTAATCCAGTTACCTCTCTGGCGTGGGTTCGTTGGGTTTGAGTCAATGACTTCTAATCCAGTTACCTCTCTGGTGTGGGTTCGATCCCCGGGAACACATAGGTACCCTCAAAGCACGACATATGCTTTTATTTGCGTTAATCGTTAAGTATGTATGTAATATTTCTTACTTTTATGTAAATATTACATACTTAGCGATTAACACATAAAAGTATATGTCGTGCTTTGAGGGTACCTATGTGTATAAAAATGAGAGGGTACCTGTGCTATGAAAATTCAAATGAAGAGAGGTAGCCCTTGCCGCTGCAAAACCGAAAGTAGGGTGTTTCTATGAATTTTTCATTTATTTTTGACAATTTACTGCCATTTGTCCGAAGATGATATGTATATGAACATATTAAATATGTGTGATGCATATATAATCAAGCCATATAGGTTCATTTCAGCCCGAAAAATATATCGAGGTGATGGGCGATGCAAGACATGTCGATTTTTTGTAGCTTATTGTCAATTTGCAGTACACGAAAAACGTGCACATGACAAATCAGGACATAAATAAAACATTCTAGTGTTCCGTGGTATACATCTTTTCTACGTGTCATACCTCCTTTCCTTATTACAATGAAATTTTACTGGATTGTTATCCATCGCTGATTTGGTTTTAGCAGAGAATGACCTGTGCATGTTCGAAGAGGGTACCGTTTGATCAGATTTCGCAAAGAGGGTCCGATATGGATATGCACCGTGTAGCTGGGCTTCCCTCAAGAAGCGGCTAAGTAAATTGTATCATTATATACCATGTATCGTATATAACCTGGATATCCTTCACACCCATGCACCCGAAATGTATGATCTTTTTATGCATAAAAATCAACCGATTACTACCGATCTCTTCGACAGATTTGCACGTGCCCTACGGGTTCAAGCGAAAGAAGTTCGACAATATTTTTTGTAATAAATTACAGCAAAAGTTGTTGCAAAATTTCCACTAGGACTCCAACTTTGATAAGAAAAATGTATGCAGTAATTTTCCGAAATATGGAAATTGCTGTACGTCACGTGATGCTACATTGGATTTAATAGAGTCGATAAACGGCATGAACCTTGCGGTGACTCACATATCTTATTGAAGACTTACTTTCTATCGTCATATCATTGTCATAGAACTTTATACGTTTCTATGACAAAAACTGATACCTTTTAGAAATTGAAATACCCGTTGAAACATAAAGACGACACCCACCTCATTAAATTTTGATAAAGGTAGTGCATACTACCTCTTATTTTGCTGAAAACCATTTACATGCATACCGATAGCATAGTTACTTAATGTTCTCTAAAACTGCCAGGAATAATGTATATATGACAAAATCATGATTCAAAGTGTATTTTTATCCTGTAAGTAAATGCTCTACATCAAGTATGTTTACAGTCATTCCAATAAAATATATAAAAAAACACACACACACAAAGACCAAAACAAACACAAAAAACACAAGAAACGGAGGTAAGAAAAATATCTCTTGAACTGAAAAACACGATCAAAACCAACGTTATATAACCAAATTTTTGTGCAAATGATAAGCGTACTATGCTTCATAATGATTTACACACTTATTGTCTAATAAAATACGCTTAAACGCGCCGTGATTAAGCACAATAACACACTGGCAGTAACAAAAGTTATCATAAGAACTCCAGGACATATTTTGAGTTATCGCAAGAACTCCGTAACATTTGAAAAATCGGGTATAAATTTATTAGCCAGGGCTTTATGTTTGCAACTCTCCATAATAATTAGGTAATTAAGTATAGCAACGAAGAAGATCACAAATGAAAACGTCAATATGTACGAATTAGCAAGTAATTTGGTAATTTTTCTCAAAACTTGCAGATTTTTTTTTAAAAGGCGACAAAATATGGACTAAAAGATTTTTCTGAAACAAAATACAATATGTAGGGCAAGCTTAATTATCAAAGTTTAATTTAGCACCCCAAACTCCCCATTTAAAGTTAAAAATAACCATTTTTAGGCGAGTTCTCCAAGTATATAGAAAAGTTTTCCACAGAAATCCGTAACGTTTTCCAGGAACTCAGTGACAGTTATCATAAGAACTCCAAACAAGTTATCATAAGAACTCCATCCTTCGTGTAACACTTCCTCCCCCGTGTCAATACTGCAAATTAACCAAGAACCAATAAAAAACAAAGAGTTCACAAGAATACTAAAATATATTTACCGAGGCATGTAAATAGCTTTTCCATGTAACCGGATTTAGCCCGTTGACTGTTGTATTTAACTCTTCAGACAAACTGATACAGAGTTGATACGGCTATGACGAGAACATTAGAAAATGTCACCAATTATACTTCTGAAGATCTGTCAGAATTAGAAATTAAAAGACTTAATTATCCACGCTGGGGACACACTATTTTCGCAGTGTTGCTTCTTTTTGTGGAATTATTTGGATTTACAGAGATTTGTTTTATTCTTTTCACGTTTTTCAAGACGAAACACCTTCGCTCCGCAACAAACATTTTTGTAATCGCTCTATGTGTGGCTGACCTTTGTATGCTCATTTTAGGATGTCCATTTTCAGTTATTTCTGCATTTAATGGACAATGGGCTTTTAGTAAAGCCGTTTGTGTGCTTTCTGGATTTATAGTATATTTCCTAGGACTAACTCAGCTCTACCTGTTAGTGGCCATCAGTGTGGATAGATACATTGTGATAACAAAACCGCTTCAGTCAGCCCTTATTACAAAACGAGTTGCTGTACTTTCTTGTATAGGATGTTATGTAGGTGGATTTTTCTGGGCAGTCCTTCCCCTGGCTGGATGGTCTCAGTATGGATTAGAGGCCCCCGGAGTTTTCTGCGGACTAGATATTGAAAATACACAGTTCTCTTACTCACTAACAATATTTTTCACTTGCTTTCTTTTCCCGTTTATCATTATGTGTTTTTGCTATTACAGAATTTATTCAACGGTAAGAACAATTTTTATACCTATTCTTATTGCTGGTGTTAAGTCCTAAGCGAAAGTACCTATAAATTTTCGGTTTTGCACGATTAAAGATAAAAAAATGAAGTATGTTACGAAAATTTTCGAAAGTTTACGTGAGGGCCGAAGAAGTCACCATATTTGGATCGGCAATTTTGAGACACGGGCTCTTTTCCTGGTTGAAACTGCTTACACATTATTATCTATATATACATGTATGTTTAATTATTCACAATACATGTATATGCACTGACAGTTACTCTTTTTGAAGTTCTTTTCTGTCGACAAATTATCTAAATTAATCGTTATGACGGTACAATACGATAAAGATAGTCTCTGTATATGTTATTATTCCTTGCACTTTCAACAATAACATCGCAGAAATGAACAATTTATTGATTAATTGATTGAGTAATTGAACTTATCTACAGTTTCCCCTCTAACGACATCGTCATTGTTAGGAGTTATATACGGATAAATTGTCTTCGATTTTAACATAAGATAAATGACATTGATTTTACAATGTTCAACAGGGCAATATCCCCATGCGTCTATTTTTTCTATGATGCTTTAAGGTATCTTGTTAAAGAGAACATAAATGGTTGCGATTAATCGCAGATTGGTCAGATAATTTTTTTCAATTTAGAACACAATTAATTGATAATAAAATGAGAATCTGAATGAATTCCCGGTTTCGATAGTTCTGTCTTTTGTATCTTTTAGAATACGAAAACTAACAAGCCAATAGACAAACTGAGAGAACAAAATAATGTCCAAGTATAGGATTTTTTGGAATGGTTTCTATGTAACAAATTGCTTTATTGTATTTTAAGCCCAATTAGTTAATTGTTGTAACTTTCATCGATAAAAGTTACAACAATTAACTATTTGGGCTTAAAATCCAATAGGCAGGTATAATAGTAATATATAGTTTATATCTATAACAAAACATGAAATTTTAGAAAGAAAGTATTTGTACAAGTAATGTTAATGATCTGAAATGTGATCAAAACTAGCGCACTGACCAATACAAGAGAGTACAAAGCTCGACGAAATTAATTTTTAATCACTTAACCTTTCTTTTCCTGTTTCAACAATTTTCAAATGTATTAATTTAGAAATAGCATTTCATATTATTTCACAATCTATATTAATGTATATTAAAGACAATCAAAGATAATGTAATTAACATTATTTATGATCGCTAATGAAACTGCTATTTTATTGTTTATAATAGCTCGAATTCGCTTTTCTTTCGATTATCTATTTTTATTAATATTGGCATATAGTGGTGTCGATTAGTAATAGAAAGAACATCGAAACACGAGGCTATCTGATTTGTACGAGGGGGCGTAGCCCCGAGTATAGATCAGATTGCCGTGTGTTTTGATATTCTTTCTCTTTTGTATCATCGTCAAACATAAATACACGTTCCCTGATCCCACAATATGAAACCCCCCAAAAAGTTACCACTGAACGAGCATCTGAATATGACATTTCCATCGCTATCCCTTTGTCTGTCGTCACAATATGTAAACCCCGGACAAAATGAAGCAATCAATGGACATGCTCTGGAGTGCCGGTAACTTATATTGTGCATGTATATGTATAAGATTTAACCCTGTCACATTTTCAACAGAAATGTCCCCGAACTATGATACAATTCATATATAAAGCATCATATATATCGTCAATATCTTTTATAACCTGAAATTCCCCTTGTGGCTGATGGTTTGCCTTTAAGGACTGAGGCATTAGAATTGATGTTTATTCCTGCATGATCTTAAGAAGCGACTAAATGGTTTTGAATGACTGAAATCTATGCACATGTTAACCCCAGCAGGTGGTTTTGACGCCTGGTGTTGCTTTAAATCTATGACACCCGAGGTTAGCCAAAATCATGTTTCCTGTTTCGGCGCCATATGACCATATAGCAATTGTGTTGCTATGCCGTAAAACAAACATTAACAACATGAACAATTACTAGTTTTTATACATTTACTTTATCACAGCGTATACGAGGGTTGTCCAAAAGATTCGTGCACTGCAGTTATTGTCGCGAGAGTAATTGTTAGAAAAACATTAATTATATATCACTTGAAGGGGAGATATATCTCAAATAAGAAAACAAAAGAAAAAAATTGGTTACCGGCATGTCGTTAAAACGAATCGCCATACAGTAACCTTGGTAACGTAATACCGGCGCACGGCAAAAAATTGGGTTAGTTCATACTTTGATGCATCACGGTATTCTGTAAACACTACATATTAACGTTAAAATTCAGGTAAAAGTGTGTGTACGTATTCCTAACGTCACTAGAAAATATGACATCATTTGCCCTATTGTAACAGTCGTAAACAAACATTTGTGTGTGGTCGTCAATACTGTAATTACGTGAAAATTTCAGTCGCTAAACGTCTGGAAATACGGACGATCATTAAATTTGGTGCAAATACAGGTAAAACACCAATAGATACCTACAAAGAACTTAAAAGGGCAAGCGGGACAAGTTCAGTGTCACAAAGGCTGGTTTATAAATGGCACAAACGTTCACTAGAAAAGGGAGAGAGTCGGTAGACGATGACAACCGGTCAGGCAGACGACCGTCCGTAATGGCGGCGCATGTGACGAGGGATGTCCAATATATTCCTGCACTGGTGGAATATGTTACATGTACGTTGCATAAAAACAATAAATACTACACAATACTTTGCATCAATCATTCTTCAGTAAAACAAATTATAACATAAAAAGCAAATACATTGTACCACTTTATAAGCAACAAACTAATAATACAATTACAGTAATGAACTAACCCACTTTTTTGTCGTGCGCCGGTATTACGTTACTAAGGTAACTCAATGATCATTCTTTTACACGACACGCCGGCTACCTGGCTTTTTCTTTTGTCTTCTTATTTGAGACAAATTTCTCCTTCAAGAGATATAAAATTCATTTGTTTATATTAATAACTCTCACGACAATAACTGCAGTGCACGCATTTTTTGGACATCCCTCGTAATAATAAAGTAATAAATAAGTGCATCTTTGCAGAATAAAACTCAAACATCATTTTTTTAAGCTTTTAAGCTTACTACTCAATCCGTACTATTTATTATTTGTCAGTTATCATGTAAATGTAATACTTATAAATAAAATATTGTTTAAACTAAACATCGATTTCTTGAATCCTCTGTCCACTACGCTACTTGGACTTACTCTATAACCACTTTTATTGTATTGTATTGTAAAAAATGCAGAAAGAAATAATTAAATATGTTGTGCGAAGTTTTGGCTGTTTTTTTTATTTGGTTCTTAATGAAAGTATATCTAAAGAAGGTTATTCAGAGTCTAAATTTTGGTCCGGATGTATATCAGACATTTCTGAAGCGCCATATGGTGACTTTCAAGCTTTACTGGTTGAGGAAGACTTCAGTGTATCTCCATGATATCAGAACAAATACCTCAGTAATAGTGACGACCTTTCTGTAGCCATCTAGATAAGAAACAATTAAAAACAATGTTTAATTTTGATTTACGGCGATGCATGGGAATTGCCGTAAGTGGGATATTTGAGGTATTTTTTTTATCAGGGTGATAATCTTTATATCGAAAAGTAAACATGCAAATTATCCGTGCTTTGGTTTTTTAAACATATATTACAACAAAACATACAAACAATGTGCTGTATAACATTTCGTTTTTTTCCAGATCCGAAACATTAACAAAACAACAGTGTGGGATATTACTAGCAGAGTTGCAAGAAAAAACTTGAGACTTGAGAAGAAGATGATGAGAACTTGTATACTAATGTGCTGTATGTATTTTTGTGAAAAGTGTGTATGCTTCCCTATATTAGCAGGTCATACCGGTACCTGACAGATGCTTTACACATTTCTTTCACTACAATACATATCAAAAAAGATACTTTCATTTATTTTTTCACAAAGAAATAAAGAAAAATATTCAATGAAAATAAGTTTTTTACATCAGATGTTAGTAGAAGTTTTTTTTACGATAAATTAGTATTTTACACTGTAACATGTCCCCAAATTCGTTCGTAAGAATCTGAATGACACCATACCCATTGTATAAAGTAGTGGTGTGTTTAACATTTGTTTGTTATTTCATCATTATTTGTACATACAAAAAGAAATATTCATTTTCAGATTAGCATTTTCTCTTGCAACTATTTCTAGCAATGCCTATATGTGCATTTTTCAAGAGAAAATTGACAGTTACCAGAGAAACACATACAGGTCTTTTTTTCAAATTCTGTTGCAAAAAAATGAAAGCTTGTAATGCCATCATATTATTATAAGTTATAAAGATGTATTTTGATTTTCAGGCTCCTTCTGGATATGCTGGTTCCCGTATGCTTTAGTCTTCTTTTGGCAAGTGTTATTTGGCGTCGACTCATTACCGTTAGTGTTAACAGAAATACCAGCCCTAGCTGCTAAATCACAAGGTGTTCTAAACCCCCTTATCTATGGTGCAACGAATAAAATGTTTCGCCAGTCGTTTTATAACAGTTTACCATGTAAAAGACTACGTGAAATTCTCATGAAAAGGGAAGAGGAGAAAACACACAATTCAGAAGAATCAGGAACTGAAGATGGGCCGGAAAGAGAGGTAAATATTTGAATACACTTTTAAAAATTTGTTTCTGTTTTAAAAATGTGTTCATGAAAACGAATATTAAAAAAATACCATCAACGACTCATAATGCTTTAATTCTTACTATATTTTGTACCTAAATATGTTATAATCGAAAATTCATTTGATGATGATGGAATACTATTACTTGACTTTTCCCACTTTTGTTATATATTATTACATTATGATGAATATGTGCACTCATGTGACAACATTGTATTACAATGGTGGAGTTAAACACCGCTTTTGTGAGATGAAGTAAACCGATATCGAATAAGTTATTATATGTTATTTAGATATGATATTATATAAATTTACATTGAATAATCATAAACAGGTAAAAATGCACGCATATTTAACGTATGTTTTGGCACGCCATATGTTTTCCATCTGTAAAACAATGTGTTTTATATGTGTTGAAAAGCATATGTTAAAGAACATAATGTTTTTCATATGTATAATATGTTAAACAAGGACTATATGAAAAACATCTGTAAAAAAACATATCTTGAACCTTTGGTTTTCACATGTTTTTCTTATGAATAAGTTTTCATATGTATAATTTATGGATTATATATATTTATGGATTATATATATTGCAAGTTTTGCGCTCACTGAACAGTCTCAATTATGTTCTTCATGGTTGTACAGTGATTCTTAAAAGATTCATGGTTCATGCATTTATTATCTTTAACGGTAAGCAGACGGACCATAGTATTTAGAGGTTATAACATAATACATTTGATCCGTGTCACGACAAAACCAACATAATGGGTTTGCGACTAGCATGGATCCAGACCAGCCTGCGCATCCGCGCAGTCTGATCAGGATCATTGTTGTTCGCTATCAGTTTCTCTACTTGCTATAGGGTTTGTAAGCAAACAGCATGGATCCTGATCAGACTGCGCGGATGCGCAGACTGGTCTGGATCCATGCTGGTCGCAAACCCATTATGTTGGTTTTGTTTTGACGCGGCTCATTTAATCTGTTGATATTATAGGTCACGACGCTGAAGAACACTAACAATGCAGTCAATCCAAACGCAGTGGGTCCAGCTGAATCGGCTGATAGTAAAGCACCGACTAACTCAGAATGTTAGAAAACATAATTATGGACGGATCGGTTTCACTCGGTCATTGCAGTTGAAACTTTTTCAACAAAATGTGAAGAAGTGTTTATAGGACATTATCGGGATATTGGCCATTATCGAAATATATCTGTAATTTTAGTTGAGTAAACAGAATTTATTATAAAGTTATACTGAAAGGCATATTTTCTCTCAAAAAGTTCTGTCTGTATTTTTCACTAGATATATTCTTTATTAAAGGAACTCCACTGAGGTTCAACTTGTTATAAACATAAAATTTGAATTTCTTATATAGATCGACTACTGTAGGCAATTAAAACAGAAAGATATGCAAAAATAAAAAAAGATTCAGAAATAAATTGCAAATTGTACTTTTATGCTATTCTTAGCCCGATCGGGGTGAAAGATGTTGTGAAAAAACAGAATAAGTGACTGGGCTGAAATTTAGAACACAAGTTATTAGTCCAGCCCTTCATCAAATGAAATATTGATATCGAAAAATCACTTCCAGTCAGATTATGTAAAACTACCTCAGTCGAGTGCCTTTAACACTGAAACAGTTAGAACACCCATTCTCATAGAAACAAAACTTAACTGGAAAAAGTCAGTAAATTGTGGTTAATCTTTCAATATATAATATTGTTTATTCTTAAACCATGTACATGTACATTTGTATTTTTCTTTATCATAACTTAAATTATCAATCAATTGAATGATTCATAAAATCTAATTTGTAACTTTGAATAATTCTATTACTAAACACGAATAACAAAATAAATAAAATGTTTCAAAGTTGATTATATATTAATACCATAATATGTACATTTTTTCTCAATTATTGTACATATTTATTGTTTTTATCTTATATAGATAAAATGAAACATGCTATTGATGTTGTTGTTGTTGGGTTTTCTTCGAATTGCATGTTTATGTGTAATAATAATCAATAAATTTGAGAGTTGGTCTGTGTTTATTAATTATTGTAACCAAAATAAGTGACAAACATTCATTTTGGAAAAAAGCTTATTTATCTGTAAAATATTTGTTCTGTTCTGTAACGATATCAAACATGTACTCTAAAACCCGGGAGAGACCGGACAATAAACGTATGATACTATTCGCCGGTCACTAGTAAACCCCGGTCAAAATAGACCGGGAGAAACCGGGAATTACCGATAGGAGTACATCCCTCTATGAATAGATTTTCGGACTTTCATAATGTTTAGGTCATCAACTCATCATTCTATTTACACCTTTCGGATACATGTACAACAATAACATACCATAAAACCCACTGTGTACTACAAAATGATAAATAAAAAACCCCGAAGAGCGCGATTTATTGACGGAAAAGGTTATTTCATTTGAAAATGTTTGCATTGCGAAATTCTCCAGTTCGCCATTCATTGTACATATCGCGACATTTCATTTTTAATTAATAATAATCAAGCACCCTCATACCGAACGGAATGATTGGCTTTTATTATGACCGACTAAAAGGCTCGAGAAGTTGATTTCGCCCTTTCTCATTCCAGAAGGGGCGTCGCGCTTCGGTACCATTTATCAAAGCTATGAATCTGCGTTTTACTGATTGAACATACGGTACATGTTCTTTTGTTTGTTCTCTCTTTTACTTGTCAGTCAGTTTTTAATCTTCCATACCAACATTTAGTAATACATTTACCCTTCATTTCTTGATTCTTTAAATTGTATTTGCATTGATGATAAGAATGTTTCTGACACATCCATAATAGATGCCCCTACAAACCTGTATTATAGTTTGAAATTATTTTTGTCCAATAGGATTGCAGTCTTTCAAATGAATCGTAACACATTTGTTTGGTAAATCGGCAAAGTGTTAAACAGTCAATTCACTAGACTGTATATAAAAAAAATTAAAACAATAAGCTGGTTAAAGTTTATTAGTACGTATTTACAAAAATAAAATGGCCTGACCAATTTATTTTTGTAAATACCTTCTTATAAACTTTAACCTATACAATAATTAACAATTGTGTACTGTTGCTGCTTATGACCTTTTTTCGACAAAAAACAACTACTCTCCCATGTGCTTTGTTTCATTCTGAATGGAATGATGTTAGAAATGCTATTAATTTTATTAAATGTCGACCAAACTTTTTTTACTATCAAATTTGACTGAACATACAGATCAAAACTGGAGGAAAAATGTATTCATACAGTTGACTGCTGAAACAGGGAGTATGAACACTCATGATTTTGTAACTATGAAATCCGTAAATTAACACAGATTCAGTTAATTGTATCGGCATTCTAATGCTGTTTGTTCAGATAAAATGACCGGATTATTTTGAATTCCCCAGACAATTTTATATACACAAATAATAACAATGTTACTTTCTACTTACTAAATGTACGCGATGCACTAACAAACTAATATAATATTATTGTGCCAACACGTACAAATGGTCTGTTTATGAACTAAATAACCATATACCATCTTAAACTGGATGTAATACTTAATTATATGGACATTCAATTTTCTCCATGTTTTCCCTGTAAATGTAAGAATATAAATCAATAACAAGAATCATAATTATCTGATGCTTGTTAGAGATGTTCGATTTTTACAATACAATTAATTAAGTAAATGAATTCAAGTATAACGTTAAAGGGAAAGACAAGTTTAGAATAAAAACTTGATTTCAGAAAAAGAATACTATAAATAATAAATCTGCAAATTTTCTGCCGCCAAATAATAATATTAAACGAATGATAACAAAATTTAAATCGCTAAATCACCGATTTCTACAAATCAGTAGGCGCGGCCATGTTTGTGTATTTGCCGTATAAAAACAGGTGCGCGTGATGTCATTTCCCCACATCTTTATCTTTATGATAAATCTAGTTGAATCGTAGCGAAATATTAATATAATAAAGTATTGACCAGACAATTTAATTTTCACAGGAGGTGTAGAGGAGATTTTTTTATGGTTCAAAATACGTAACAATATCAAAAAAAAAAAAAAAATAAAGAAAGAAACAAATAAAAAAATCAACGTCTACCGGTCGCATCACTTCAGGCCAGTGATGCCCGTTACTCCAAAAAATGCTATGTTCATTAAAGTATCATCTTAATGTTATTAAACAATATTTCACAGATTTAATAAATACACATGTTATTATTTAACAAAGTTTCACAATCAAATAATGCAATTAAATAAACAAACGCACCAACCACGGACTTTAATTGACAAGGATCGGACACTTCCGATGGGGCTTTAAATCGGGCCGCGCGCATGCGCGAGATCTTCTCACCGGAAGAAGATGAAATAATGGCGTAGACCGAGGATGTCATGTGTAAACATTTGATAATAAAACTCGGTTTTTGCTGTTGATTGCGTTGTTTATACAACTTTGGTACACACTATTTGTCAAGTAAGTATTATTGAATATGTTTACATTAAGTATTTATTTTATTTAGCTCCTAAAACAATCAAACTGCCGTGAAACTTAGTATTGTAATTTTGCTTATCGTAACGGTAAAATTATTCAAGATGGCGGTGAACACGAACGAAAATAAGCTGATTTTGCTGCCCAAATATGACGAAACAGGAATTTATTTTATGTTTAAATTGTAATGTTTATACTAACATAGTATTGATTTGTGCAGTCAGATAAATGGTTTTCTTAGAATATGGCTGTAGAAGATTTCAGGACTTTACACCTCCTGGACGTTTCACCTTTGGTCTTTTCACCTCCTGGACGTTTCACCTTTGGTCTTTACACCTCCTTTTTTATTGTTTACTGTATTGATTAATATCAGTAAACTTGTTTTAGATACCTTAGTTGTTACACCTTAATTGGATTATATTGAGTGATAATTGAGATAACTCAATATCACATAAATTTGCATAATAGACATTGTTTATAATGCTTGATTCAAAATTCTTTCACACTTCTAATTGTTCTTATCTGTTATATAAAAACATATTTTAATTAATCAATATTTTTTATGATATTTAATTTTTGGATAACAAAAAAATGAAATAATACATACATGCAGACTTATAGCTGATAATTCTTTCAGAACTCATATTTATAATTATTTTTCCAGGGAAATTTCACTATATTTATGTCAAAAAAAGCTTCTTTATATCATGAATGTAATTGTTTGCAAGTATGTGTTATATTATATATAATATTATAACACATAATGGTATTTATTTCATATATTTATCAAATTTAAAACATGGAGGTGAAAAGACTAGGGTTTTGAAGGTGAAACGTCCAGGGGTGAAACATCCAGGAGGTGTAAAGTCCAAACACCCTGTAGAATACCGCAACATTAGATTTAAATCACCCCTCGTTCAAGTGACATAATTGACAAAGATCGATGTAAACTGATGATCATATTATAAAAAGAAAGCAATAAATAAAAGTAAAAATCAATAAAGAAAATAGAAAGAAACGAAAAGAAAAAAAAAAAAACAACAAAACAAAACAACAACAACACCCCGTCCCCCTCCAAACCCCCCCCCAAAACAACAACAACAATGCAATTGTATAATCATACAGCATTTAATTATATATGAAAAGTTATGCTCTGCCCGATATCCTAAGTGATCGGATTTTAATATCATCATCATCATCATCATCATCATCATCATCATCATCATCAACAACAACATTAACAACAACAACAACATCGTCATCATCAACATCATCATCATAAACAACATCAACAGCAAGAAATAAAGCCACAAAACAGCGGTATAAAACAAGTAAAAGGAAATTCCCTGTAGATTATTTCTGTATGAAACTTGAAAAAATGGACCTAAAGAAAAGTTTGATGAACTTCGGGTAAAGTATTACTTTTAATAAAGGAATCTTTCTAGCCGTGTTATGCATATTTTTGATGCTTTGTAACAATGATATTTATTGGTTGCTTAAGCATAAAATAAGCTCAAATTTGATATTTTAAAATTTTGATTTATTGCTACACAGTTGTATTTTGGTCAATATAAAATAAA